AAATAAATAAAAATAAATAGAAATAAATAAAAATAAATAAAAATAAATAAAAATAGATGCAAATAAATAAAAATAAATAGAAATAAATAAAAATAAATAAAAATAAATGAAAATTCCCTCCCCATTATATTATTTGCGTAATTTACACATCTTTTACAGGGCAGCCCTTATTCCTAAAAGGTCGTCAATGGAAAAATATTTTTGGCATTATCACGGATGGATTAAATTATTATTCTTAACTTAATCTGTTAAAAGAATATCTTTGCTATTCTCTATTTTTTTTTCTTTTTTCCTGGTTAATTCGTTCTATATTTTTCAGAAAATATGCTACGATAATCGGAATATAAGTCAATAGGAATATGCTTCCTAATTAAAATCCTAAGATAGTGGAAGTTCCGTATAGCATTTTATATGAGGTTACACATCCCCCAATAATTAGAAAATAGAATTTCTGATGCATCCCGCATTAGGGACATGTGACGGTTCTTAATAAATTACCCCACAAATTAGTCTTTGGGTCTTCAGATTCATACGCATAATAGGTTTATTTTTACGAAAAAAAGAAAAAATATTTTTCTGCAGGATTTATTTACTCCTAAGAAACAGTTTCAAATTTTCCCGATGATAATGAAATAATTGTGAATTCTTCCTACTTCATCCTATTCCGCTACAATACCATTGTATTCATTTTATGACCAATATAATGTAATGTTAATATAAAAATCAAATCAGGAGATCATCCATTAGGAATATGACATCTAAAATGGGATATAAATGCCGCTATATACAATTCTACCAATTTCAGAATTACTAATTATCAGGAAAAATATTGGATCTGGGAATAATCTTAAAAATATAGAAGCAGGGTGATTTTCTTCTTTGTACTTTATTTGGTGTTATATTTTAATTAAGATTTGTCTTTGAGAAAGGTTGTTTCCTTTCATGGACATTGCTGGCCGAGGGGTCATTCAGCCTATAACTGAGGAGTATACATATACATGTCTTTACATATATATTTTTCCTTCCCTCATTTGTCTTTTGTATTTATGAAGTCCTCTTATTCATAAGTTTAGTATAAAGATAAGTGTTTCTCCTTTCGTTTTTTCCTTTGTCCCCTCCTGTGCTTCCCCTTTTCTTTTTTCACTTTCGATTGTTTTACTCGCTTTTTTCTTTTTTTTTTTTCCTTGTAGTTTCTTCTCGTTGTCTGATTCTTTCATGTTCAACCTTAAGAGTCTGTATTTCATGTCATCTATAATTTTTCCTTCTTGATTTTTTGTAGTTGTCGCGCGCGTTTTGATTTTTTTATATTCAATCTTAAAAGTGTGTATTCTATGTCATTTATAATTTTTCTCTTTTTCTTTCCTCTTTCTGTTTTCTTTCTTTTTTTTCTCTTTAATTACATCATACATGTTTCATTTTCAATTCTGGAAAAATAACAAAGTGGAGTTTTTTTTTTTTTTTCCTTTTGGTTATACCCAGTAACCTTTTTATGTATCTTTTCCGCTTCCTTAGATATAGAGACAGAAAATCGAGAGTAATCTTTATTACTATAACGCAAGTTTCTTTTTTTACTTTTAAAAATTATTGTCATTAAATGATCTCCCTCATATCAGCGTTAAGAACTCTGTACTGAAGCACTATGATATACAGAGTAGATTTCCCTACGTATATTTATTCATGTAGGATAGATGAGAAAGAAATAAGAAGTTACATGATTCGTCTTCTGTTCACTCCCATGCGCCCCCGTTTGTTATTCTTTGTGGTGATTATTCTTGTGAGGATGTCAGCAGATAAGAAGTCTAATAGAATGGAAGAGAATCTTACCTCTGCTGTAAATTATACACACATAAAGAATAAGTGTAGTACATATTAATAATCTTCTTTTTGTTCGAAAAATATCAAATTTTAGCATGGCTATGTTTCCAATGTTACTGTTGGAATGGAACATTTCTTCGACAAGCCCCCATGAATTTTAACTGAATATCCCACCGACCAGAATCAATATCTATGTAATGAGGACACGCAAAGAATGGCACGACACCATCCTGACGAAATTAAGGACAACCAGGAGCATATTCCACAAAGGAATGATAATACAACAGAAAGAGAATCCACACACTATTTTCTTGAAATTGAGGACTGCCTGTAGGATAAGCCAAAGCCAAATTACAATACTAAACAGGGGGAAATAGCAGACTCATATTTCCGAAATTATAGACAAATTACATGAGGACTCAAAGAGAAGCGTAAAAACAATAGAAGAATTCCCCCAAACTTCATACGACCCACCTCAGTTAAATGAAGAATACTAGATCGTTCTCAACAACTTTAAGGAACAAGATATAAATGGAATAATCGATTCGGTGTATGATAATTTATTCGGGAAGGCGATGCTTGACAGATGGATAAGTTTGCTGAAAAATTCCAAAAGGGCGATGCACACCTTGAACGACCCTTTATCCTATTACTTGGGAAAATTAAAACGTTCGTATACCGTGGATGGGAACATTGAGGTGGACCACTTGCAGAGGAGGAATCATACTATTCATACGACCATGAGGAACATGGACGAATATCAAAATAGACTCTTTTTCCACTACATAATAAGCGATAATTTTCCCAAGTCCAATCAAGACTGTTTTATAAATGTGGTCAGAAAGGCCTTTATCTTATTTGTAAATGAGCTAGTTACTATGGAGCAGCCTCAGTTAAATAGATGTGTACTCGAGTCATGGATACTCATGGGGAGAGCCCACAGATAACCGTTGAGAGAAACACGTTGAGGGGTAGTTACACATGTATATGCATATATAAGATGCTAACAATAGCAAGAATAAATATTCTTGTACCTATATGCTTATATATGCAATTATCTGATAAAGTCTTCTTTATTGGAAACAGGAGCCAAGTGGATTATACAGCACCGTTTCAGCAATGATCGGTGCCAAAGTGGCATCGTGACTGTATTTTTTGCCATGGAAAAGTATTTAAACATTGGAAGACAGATATATGTGCTGTGTGTATTTTGAAGCACACAGTGAATTAAATTTCTATGTAAAGTTTGTCAATTTCCGTTTCTTTAAATCCTGATATAAGACTCGTCCTCGGATGTTCTAAACTCTTTTAATGTTTTTTTCTTTCCTCTGAACCATTTATAGGTACATGATATGCATAGCGGGCTACGAATAGAATTTTACGATTATCTCTTGAATTTGTCGACGGGGGATCTTGTATTTTACTCCTTAATTCGAGTAAAGATTTAGAAAATTCATTTCATTACATGGTCATCTGTTTCATTGTGCTTATAAGATAGGTGATTAGCATGCAAATAATGTTTTAAGGATGTGTCATACCAGTGAAGATTCCTTGAACTTTAAAATAAAAGTAGGAGGAATAAAAGACGTCGAATCAATATACACATATAAATTAGCCAAACGACACTGACGTTAGATGTCAATAATGATACTACGCTTCATCCTTTCTAGTTAAATTTAGCATAATGTGTATATAATATGTTTTGCACTTGTAGGAATTGCATTGATGGTTCCATTATTTATAAATAATTTATTGTAGATGACCACAATGAGGGACTTTTACATGGAAGAACATCCAGAAGGAATTGCTAAGAAAAACCAACCCACGAATGAGGCAGAGGGCATTACAATTTGGATTATTCTATTCAGAAAAAAAAAAAAAAAGAGGAAGAAACATTTATGGCGTCACCATTTCTTCGCTGAGATAAAACTATAAAAGTTTTACATTATGAACAAAAAAAAAGAAAACAAAAATGTAGACTCTCCATGATAGTAGAATTTGATCGAAACAGGGGTTTGTTCCGTTCTGCAATAGCAGCTATCAATAGTACATAATTTAATACCTTCTTTTAAATCTTCCAGATTTAAATTAAAAGTCATCTGCATCGTGTTCACTATCGTTCAACAGAAGAAGAGGGGTCGCCTAAGAAAATAGTTCCTCTTCTTTGATAGTTTAAAATGCATAATAAAGGAAAGGTCTCATTTTTTCTTAATTGGAATGCATAAATAATACTTCCATTTGTATAGGTATCAAATGTGAACATGAACAAAAGAATCCGTGGTTCTATAATGTGGAGATGCCCTTCGTAGAGAAGTTATTATTCAGAGGCTTGTATCGTCGAATATACAGAAGAATATCCGGTGACTACTTTATATGCCGTATTTCCCAGATCTTACCAAGAACAAGTGGGCGCAGAAACATATTGTAAACAGGAAGGAGCCTTCATATAATTGGTGACTTAGCCATTTTTCTTAGAGACCATGGATAGATTTCATTCGGTCCCGTAAGTATCTCAACAGAGATGCACTATGAGGGAGGAAATAAATTTTATACATTTTCTATGATGTCCTTTCCTTTTTTTTTTTTTTTTTACTATTGGTTAAAAATATGTTCTAGGATGCCTGAATTTATTTATGTAAGTGCTTATGCTCTTCTTAAAAATTTTATAGTTGTCAAACTTTTTATGAAGTATCCTTTATTACATATTTTAATGTAGTTTAACATATTTCAACATATTTTATATCATATTTTAACATAGATTAGCATATTTGAATATATTCCAAAGTATTTTAACACAGTTTATAAGAAAATAAGGAAGCCGCCCTAAGTTATAGATTTAAAACAATCTTCGCGCACGTAATAACCTCTTTCTAGTATACTTATATACACCACAGGAATTAAATTAGAAAACTATGGCTTCTCCTAGAAAATCCCAATATGCTTCGGCTGATGAATGCTCAGCTAACCATACCAAGAAGAACGGAAAATGTTTTCCCGCCACACTGCCGCATGAGGCGGCCTCACATGGCCTTAACTTCCGAAGATTCATTTTTTTCCCCTGTTCAATTGTACTTCTCGTTTTTGCTATTTATATGTTGCTACTAGTAAGCTATATGGAGTAGAGATTTCTCGAATAAATAATACCCACTCTCTCGCAATTTCTGATTCTGCCATTACATGGAGTTCAATATACGCTTCTTCCGGAAGTTTAGATGCAAGAAATAGTGTATACATATGAAGTGTAAGTATTATAAATATGCCTAATGTGTATGTCACCTGTCATTCGGAACCTTCTTAAAGGATTCCTCGCAGGAGGTAACACCTCTGGATAGGAAGATAATGGCCCTGATACAAGAAAGGAACTTATCCGAATTAAATGAAAATGGATGTTTGAGGAAGGAAAACTCAAATAGAAATGTAGGTTCCTCCCATTCTACATGGAGAGAGGACGTGCTATCTGGGCCTGATAGGATGGATTTAGGTGGGAATAAAAAGAACAAAAGTTTGGATGGGGATAAGATAGTCGAAGGAGAATATGAAGAGGAAGATGACTTACGTAATATTTACTCGCCTAGCTTTAACGGACATGAGATGATATTTACTAGGGATGTAACGGAAGAGAACGTGGACGCATCGATGAGTAATATTGGACAGATGGCCTCAAGGAATGACATTATCAGAATGTGGAAGGAAACATATTCTTTTAGACAAGAAGTAATTAATGAAATGATAGATGCTCTATTCAAATATTACCAGGAGTTAAAAGAAAGACATAAAATAAGGGGAGCAGTCGCCATCACTCATTGGAATGCCGTCCTGTCCAAGTGTTTTGATATACTAACGAGGAAAGAGGACAAATACAAAGAATTTTTCATTTCATTCATCATAACAGATGACTTGACCAAGGAGGAACTGGTGAAATTCTTTGACCATTGCAAGTTGAAGTTTGTTGGATTAAGGCAGTCTTTAGAGACCTTAGCAAGGAAACAACTCTATAGAAGGATGATTCCGAAAAGAGGAGGCAACTAGAAATAGGATTTGCCAGTTGGGAAAAGTTATGGAAAGCAGTGATAAGAGCAATGATTCTTCATATATATATGCCAGTGCAGGCGGCTATCATGCAGGTTGATAATGTAAAGGAAGAGTCAAAAGATCGTATGCATTGCCTTGATGGTAAAATTGAGCGGACTCACTTGAAGGAATCGGCATCTGATAATATGAGGCCCTTCCCATCCCAAATGCAAACCAAAGGAAGGAAGAATAGCGTGCCAAAGTTTTCTATAATATAGTATTTGGGACGTCTGTATCGCGTCAATAGATATCCAGCCAAAAGAGAATAATATCTCTGCAAAATATTAAAGCTACTTAGATTCATAGTTTACCTATTAATCAGTTAGATCTTTTTGTATTTCTGTTTGTAAGGACTGACAATATCTTCTATATGGGGGGCTTCCTCTCTGAGTTAATTACATTTTTATAATTTCTCCCTTTGATCTTGTTGTCTAATAGTGAACACCTCACAATTACGAATGAACTTCAACTTCTATTCGTGTTAACATGCCATTTAGTAAACAGAAGTAATTTATCTGTGACTGTAATGTTATACATAATTTGGCGCGTGAACTACCCACAGCCATATAGAATCATATAATATATGTATTCCTCTATAATATAATAGTTTAAAATGCTAAATGGAGGAGAATATACATTTAGAAAAAAAATTCACTAAGGACAGTACACCGTTTTAAACGGAATTATGATTGTTATTTGGGAATTCCTCTCGAACGCGCGGAGGAAGTCTGAATCAAGAGTCACAACGTAAACGTTAATTTCAGGGGCGTCAATTGGTGAATATACATGGAATAAAGGACATGTCTAAGAAACATTTGCATGTTGAAAAATGATTTATATGCCACATAAATCATTTCTACCTAATGTTTATCGTGATAAAGTCGTAAGAGTATGGTTATTAATGTTAGAGAAGCGGGGGGTAATTAGGACACTTAGAAAATTATGAAATATAGGCGAGAAGGAAGAAAAAGGGCAAAAATATGATCAGGATATCCCGTACCAATAGGACAAATTATTTAATACCATGTCAGGGGGTTAGAATAAATCAATGTAAATATTAAGATAATACATTAAGGAACCCCGTGCGAGCATAGAATACCACGAAACAGTTACCATATTCATGTAATACATAACATGTGGAATTATTTAACAAGAGAAATACAATGAATGATAGAAACTATTCTGCATATGTATCCGCATTGTTTAATTTAAATGGGGCGTTATTAGTGGAATATTCTTTCTATTACACAGGAAGAAGTTCATTCTAAAGTTCCTTAATATAATTAAGAATCTTTTTACATGCTTTCCAGAATGGAATTAATTATGCGCACACTTTTATGTCAGGGTGTGTCGAGTGTTCTGAAAGTACAAGCAGTTTTTGAACTCGACTGTGAAATTATAATATTAACGGAGCAGTCACATATATATAAAAAAAAAAGAAAATGGAAAAAGGAGAAAAGAAAATAAAAAAATAAATAAAAAAGAAGAGAAGAACAAAAAAAATAAATAAAAAAAAAAGGGAAAAAAGGAAAGCGAAAAAAATAGAGGAAAAAAAAAAAAAAAAGAAGAAATGAAAAGGGCCCCATCAGGTGGAATAACATATATACCTATAAACAGCTGAAGAATCTTTCCGTGGCGGAATATACGACATTCTGGTGATAAAGGATGAGGAAATGCTGTTTATCTGTCTAGTACACTATGTATATCTGTGCGACGAATATATGAAAGCAAAGAATATGGCAGATCGAATTCAAAATATAGCAGCTTCAGTATCGGAAAAGAACGAAGGCGACACTTCACTAAACAGGATAACCATTTAAGACATGATAAGAAGAAGGTGAAAATGTGAGTTTTCACGTACATACGAATACTCTATTAGATATTACACAAAGAATAAGGGGAATCAGAAGAGGGAGCCACGCTGTAATTTGACACATTTCGATATAAT